ATGTGGACCCGACACAAGATAGTTTGGAAAAGTTGATCGGATAGTGCGGCGGTAAGGAGATCTGGACTGAAGATGATGAATTGATGTTCGATGAGGAGGATGCTGCGATCCGCATGGAGCAGTCGTTTCTGGGGGCTCGTCCCCCTCCCGAGCCGCCGGCCCCGCCATCGTCGACAAGGCATGAGTCTACACCAGGAACGTGGCGGTTTGGAGTTTTTGAGAGATTGAACGAAGAGCTTTATTTTTGTGCTATAATTTATTTTAATTGTTGGTTTATGTTAATAGAATATTATTAGGCATATTTGTTTCCTTTTATGTATTAAACTCTATTAGTATAAATATGCATGCCAGGACTCCTATTGGAGCACCTTTCCCATTTATTCACATGGTATCAAGAGCCTAGGGCTAATTTTTTTTCCGGCTTCTTCTCTCTCTAAAATTTAGCCCCGCAGCCCTCATGGAATCCTCCAACGAGACTGTGCCTGTCATGGCAGTTTCCTTCTCTGTCGAACCCACCTCAACTGCAGTGACTACAATGACGGTCACATCCGTCACACCGGTCTTCACTATTGCACCCTCGACCGATGTCTCTGCCACAACAACATCATCCGGCATCGTGTTCTCCTTAACGACGCAGCCAGAGTTTCTCTCCCCAACAACCGAGCTGTCCTCCTCCCTCTGAACGCCACCAGGTCAATACAGCCTTTTCAACAACATCCCACAGCAGTTCCCATGGCCACAGGTTGTCTCTCCAGCCGCCTCGTGTCCAGTGTCTTCCCCGTCTACCCCTTATTTTGGACCTACGTTTGCTGGAAAGTCGGGAATAATTAGACCATCACATGATAATCTTCTTTTTGGATCCTCCATGGCTACGTTGGCGCAAACCGTCTCCCATGGCATCACCAATGTTAGCCAAACTGTTACTATCAAGCTTAAGGCCGTTGAAGACTATCTTACATGGCACACACACTTTAAATCTTTTCTCGTGTCTCAAGGTCTTTTTGGCATTGTTGACGGATCAATTCAGGTACCTCCCATGTATACAGTGAATTTTAATATTCAGCAAATCTTTAATACAGAATATTATCATTGGCTTCGAATAGATCAAACCATACGTTCTTGGTTGTTTGCTACTCTTTCTCGCGATATATTAACTGATGTGCATGATATTAAACATTCATCTGGTATATGGGATCGTTTACAAAAACGTTTTATGTCTTCTAGTTTGCCTAGAGCCATGGAACTTAAGCCCAAGGGTGGAGACAGGGAGGGGCTGGAGGGAGCCACGGCCTCTGCAAGGAAAAAATTCTTAAGTATATATTATGTATAAATACTTTTAATCTATAGAAAGTATGTTGATATTTTAAACTTTGGCCTCTACAATGTAAAACTTTAAGGACCGACCCCTTTAATCATAGATGTCTGGCTCCGCCACAGTTAAGCGTACCTTGAATTCGATTAAGAAGAAAGATAATCAGTCTATGGAACATTACTTGCGTGATATTAAAAATTTGGCTGATGCTGTAGCTACCATCAATTATCCTGTGTCTAATAAAGAATTATTGCAATGCAATTTATATGGACTGAGACCTGAATATGAATCAATTGCGAGGACCATCTCCCTATTTCTTGAGAATTCCCCCCGGATATTCTTCATTTGAGACTATTGGAGGCAGACCATTGGATTTTGTTTCAGCGGCAACAGGATGCTTCCCAATTTCAGCCAGCTTTTGGAGCTCAAGCTGGTCCCGGTCAGCCCGCTCCACCTGGGCAGCAACCGGCCTATGGAGCTTATCGCGGCAGAGGAGGTCGCAGCAGAGGCGACCGAGGCCGAGGACGATTTGTCACGCCCCGGACCTATAACACTACAAGAAATCACACTTTTATGACGATTTTTTGTGTGACACTGAGATTTTTGTCACATTTTGTTGTTCAATAGTTACGAAATTCATACTCGTCACTATAAAATGATTTGTTATGACAACATTTTCATTTGTCGTTATAGGTATCATTTCTCGTCACTAATTGTTACAACTAATGACGATAATATAAAATATGTCACTTTAGCTTTAAATTTTTTATTGTGATGCCCAATTTCAGGAGGGAAATATTTTAATGACAAATTCAAAATAATTAATGACAATATATGTTGTCACTTAAATTTCAATTTTTTATGACAAAATCTTATTGTCATTAATAGTTTTATAAGACAATGACAATATGATTTTGTCATTAATGCTCCCCTGTCATAACATATACCTAAATGCATCACAATTTTATTGTTGCTAATTTTTACAATTAATGACGATAATATAAAATACGTCACTTTAGTTTTAAAGTTCTTATCGTGTCGCCCAATATATGGTGTCACTTAAATTTTATTTTTTTATGACAAAATCTTATTGTCATTAACATTTTTATAAAATTTTTACAAAATAAAATATTATTTTGTCATCAAAGTTCCCCTATCATGACATAAACGTAAATGTGTCACAATTTTATTGTCAAATGTTAACATTTCAAAACTAATAGCTTATTCGTATTTTTCATTTTTTGGTACACTTCTATTACTTGATTTTCTTCTTTCACTTAACTCTTGATCAAAATTATGCGAAGTATTTTTTTAAAGAACGGCCCATACATACTTTATCAAACCCACTCAATAATTCCTAAATTGGGAAAACTGTCCAATAGGTTCCCTTATTAATACATAAAAGTCAATTAAGCCCCTGAACTCAAAAAACACTCAATTAAGCCCACAAACTATAAAAAACAAGGCAAAACAGTCCTTTTAGCAGGTAATTAAGCGGTAAAAAGAGATAAGGAAAAAAGGAAAGAAAGAGAAAAAGAGAAAAAGAAAATGTAAAAGCATGCCACATCATTTGCCACACATGCAACTTAACTGGGAACGGTTAATATCCTGCTAAAAGGACTGTTTTGCCTCGTTATATTTAGTTCGTGGGCTTAATTGGATGTTTTTTTAGTTTGGGGGTTTAATTGACTTTTTCGTATTAGTAGGGGGACCTATTTGGCACTTTTCCCTTCCTAAATTCAATTATATTCAGAAGTAAGAGTATATGCAAAAGTCTTAACCCACCGTCACCGTATTCAATCCGGTAATTTGCCGCGCCTATTGCCGTCTTTGATACACGAAGTGGTTTCCGGTCGTTGATACAAGGGCTGTATATCATCACGCTATCAAAATCGTCACCGCCTTCGATACCCAGACGGCCGGACATATCAATTAACTAAGGTCCTTAGTTATTCCGGCGAGCTGTTGGAGTCGGCCGGCTGGAGGAAAGGGAAGACGATGGAAAAGGAACGCAGGGCTGTTCGACTGTTCTATTTCCGTAATGAGACGGCGTCGTTTTGCTGACTGGGAAAAAATAACTTATAGGCCGATCTTTTCTTTTGCCTAAGGAAGGCCCAATGCAGATAATTCATCCCAAAGTAATCTGCAATCTACAGCCCAAAGTAGAATTCCTGATAATTCAAAACATAGCAAAGGCATCTAGGCAGTAGGCAAGGTCTTCATCTCTCCGACTTCCGCGGTTCCGCGAACTAGTAGGCAGCAACTGAGCACAGCAGCACCGAGAACTTGCCATGCCGGACAGCCAGCTCGTCGACAGCCGTCCGCCTTCCACCGTCCGTCGTCTGCCTACGACTTGCCCGGTTGGTTTTCGTTTTTCCTATTTTTTTCCCCTTTTAATTAAATTAATATTTTGGTATTTCATAATTTATATTTCTAAATTCATAATTGTGATTTTCAAAAGATGTAGTGTTAAATACTCCGATTGAGAACTATTTCCATTAAATTCCATTAAGATTGTTAAATTCCATTAAAATTGAGAACTATTTCCGTTAAGATTGTTAAATTCATAATGGTTATGCACTTATGCGTTAATTTATTATTTGTATTAAATAAAAATTTACAATAGTTTGAATTAATTATTTTTGTTTTCAATATTTATTATTAGGGAATGTCAATTAAGAGCTATTCCCCCCCCCCCAAAAAAAAACACCGATTAATTCGGGTGCAAGTTCTTCAAATGTTTCTGTTCGAGCTACACCTGTAGACACAGATGGTAGTGAGAGTGGGACTAGGATTAGACAATCTATTGTTGATGGAAATGAGGTTGTGACAGGTGTTCGGAGGGAAAAGAGACCTAGATTAGATGATGAGTTTGAGAATGAAGTGATTGGCGATCCGGGTTTAAGAAAATCAATAAATGATTATGAACCATCAATTAGGGATGCCATAAGAAGGGAATATGTTGTAAAAGGTGTTTGTCAACCACAATCACATGATTTCCCACGAACTATGTTTGGAAACAAATATAGGTCATTTCAAAGGGAATGGTTTACAAAATGGGAATGGTTGGAATATAGTGTGTCTAAAGATGCTGCATTTTGCTTCTGGTGTTATTTGTTTAAAGGACATGAAGTGAATAGATTTGGCGATGAAGTATTTGTCAAAACAGGTTTCCGTAATTGGAAAAAAGGTCCTGAAAAATTTAGAGATCATGTGGTAAGCGTTGCACACAACGATGCTAGAACTTCATTTTTAGCTTTTAAGGATCAAAGGCAAAGTTTAACAAGGTGTGTAGTTGTTGGTAAACACAAATTAGAGGCCGCTTATCGTGTCCGCCTCACAACTATTTTGGATATTGTTCGATTTCTTCTTGCGCAGGGACTAGCTTTCCGAGGGCATGATGAGCATGAATACTCAGCCAATAAAGGTAATTTCTTAGAACTTCTTGATTGGTATAGTACAAGGAATGATGAAGTTTCCAAGGTTGTGAAGGATAATGCACCGAGCAATCATCAACTTACTAGTCCAGTAATTCAAAAAGAACTTGTTAATGCATGTGCCTCTGAAACTAGGAAAGTGTTAATAGGTGAGATTGGGGAAAAATATTTTGCTGTATTAGTTGATGAGGCTCGTGATTCATCTATAAAAGAGCAGATGGCTATTGTTGTAAGATTTGTGAATGATAATGGGGCAGTGATAGAACGTTTTCTTGGTCTTATTCATGTTGTTGATACTACTGCTCTTTCTTTGAAAAGTGCCGTAGACGATTTCTTTTCCAAACATGGTTTGTCAATTTCTAAATTACGTGGTCAAGGATATGATGGAGCATCGAATATGCGTGGTGAGCTCAATGGTCTGAAAACTCTAATTTTGAATGAAAATCCATGTGCTAGATACATACATTGTTTTGCTCATCAATTGCAATTGATTGTTGTCTCAGTTTCGGCGGTTAATCGCTTTGTGAGTGATTTTTTTGAATTTTTGAGTATGATTACTAACATGGTTGGAGCTTCTTGCAAAAGAAAAGATGAGTTTAGACAGATACAAGAGGAAAAGTTAGTGGAAATGTTAGAGAAGGGAGAAATAGAAACTGGAAGAGGTTTGAACCAAGAATGCTCCTTAGCTCGGCCAGGAGCTACACGGTGGGGTTCTCATTATACTACCATCCTTCGACTGCTATTACTATGGTCTCCCACTCTTGAAGTACTAGGTAAGATATATGACGATGGTGCTGATTTTAAAAGTAGAGGATTGGCAGGAAGTTTAATTGAGAAAATGGAGAGTTATTATTTTGTTTTTTGTTGCCCATGTGATGAAAAAAGTATTAGGCTTGACATATGTTTTGTCTAAGTTTTTGCAACAAAAAAATCAGAATATTCTTGAGGCTGTTAGTTTAGTTCAAAGTACAAAAGAAAAGCTGCAAGATTTGAGGGAAACTGGGTGGGAAAGTCTTGTTAATGATGTGAACCAATTTTGTGATAAACATGGTATCACAATTATTAATTTGGATGATCCTGCTACACACATTCGGTCAAGGCGTGTTGGAGGAGATAAAACACTATCTTCGATATGAGGTCTTATATGAGGTAAAAGTAAATACTTTACTATATTTCTTATGTAAAATTTTAGTTCATAATTTATAGTTTTTTTTGTTTTACTTTAATTTAATAGGTTATCGACAAAATTCAAATGGAGATGGACACTCGTTTCAGTGAGACTGGGACACAATTGCTTAAGTGTATAACATGTCTTGATCCCAAGAACAATTTCTCCAATTTTTGTGAGGCAAAGTTAATTGAGCTTGCATCATTATATCCAAATGATTTCACAAATCTAGATCGCATGGAACTTGAAGAACAACTTCAAATCTGGATCTCTAAAATGAGAGGAAATGCAAGATTTTCCAATTTGCAGAATATTGGAGAGCTATCTCAGAAGATGGTTGAAGTTGGAATTCATACTGTCTTCCACCTAGTTTACCGTCTGATTGTTTTGGCACTAGTTTTGCCTGTTGCCACAGCTACAGTGGAAAGAGCCTTCTCAGCAATGAAGATTGTCAAAACTGCTTTACGTAATAAAATGGGAGATGATTATCTTACTGATTGTGTAGTCTGCTACGTAGAAAGAGATGTGTTTAGACGCATCGATAATGAGGTTATTATCCAACATTTTCAAAATATGAGGACCCGTAGGTTGGATTTAGCACCATTACGTTAACCCTTTTGATTGAATTTGGCATGTTTTATTAGTGTAATTTGTTAAGACAATTTTATTATTAATGTGATGATTTACATTATGTTATTGTGCCCCTGCTTAATTTTTTTTCTAGTTCCGCCACTGGTCGAGTCAGATTGATTTAGTATACTCCGGGTATTAGAATTGTTTTTGTTTGATTTGATGTAATTTGATGCATGTCGATTATTTAGGGAGTGTTTGCAATTGCTTCAACTTTAAAGAAGTGATTTTTTAAAGTGATTTTGGGAAAAGTGATTAATAGTAAAAGTTGGTAGTGTTTGAGGAAAAAGTGATTCTGAAAAAGTAAAAGTTGGTAGTGTTTGGTAAAAGACGTACTTTTTGTGTAATAGAAAAAGTGAAAAGCAGTTTAAAACATCCTTCCATCTGCTTCCAGCTTTTAGCTTTTAAGTGATTAATTTAAGCAGAAGCTGTCATTTGAAAACACTCTTTTTAACTTTTTTTTAAGCCAAAAGCTGAAAAGCACTTTTTTTAATCAAATGCAAACACTCCCTTAGTCTAGGATGAAACAAGTCTAAATCGAGATATTTTTAAACTCATAAATGATTGGCACTATGGGCGTGTTTGGAACTAATTCTGCTTCTGCTTCTTTTTTAAAGCAGAAGCAGAATCAGAATCAGAATCAGTTTTCAGAAGCTAGGGTACCCCCCAGTTTCTAAAAAAACCGATTCTAAGAGTAAATTAGAGCACCAAAAGTGTTTTTGAAATTTTACCCAAACACTACAGTTTCTGCTTCTGCTCCCTGATGAAGCATAATCAGTTTTGAGAATCAGATCCAAACACCCCTTATATAGTCAACCTTCAAGAATCAACAATTTTATTTCAGCTGTGGTTAACCATTTATTAGTTAAGAAATTAGCACTCAGCACCTAACAGTGGGAAGTTATTCAGGTAGTAATTTTGTTTGGTATCAACTATCAATGTGTTATTTCACAAATAAGCTGGGTCGTAAATGAGGGCGGGCAAAACATGCCTTTGTACAGGACCTCAAAAAATATAAGGCCCATTTTTTTTTTGTAAAATCTATATAGTGTAAATATATAGGGTAGTTATTTTTTAAAATAGCTCATTACTTTATTTGCCCGAATGATCCAAATATTCCGGTTATCCAACCCAAAGGTAAAAAAATTCACTTTTTCATTCTTATCCTATTTTCATTCGTTCATTTTCAATTTTAGATTTTTTTACTAATTTTATTTGTTCAAGTTCGAAAAAGTGATCACTTCTCAATCTCACATTTGTTTGTAGTTTTTTGGATTTTCTTAGGGTTGATTTTTGGTATTGTATTGATTTAATATAAGGCCTATTTTTCGTGACTTCAATTCACCGGGTCTCCTAGTTTATTGAGCCGGCCCGGCAAATAATTAGCCGAGTCCTCTAGTTTTCTCCCCATCAATTGTCTCGGCGTCCACCGGATCTTGTCAATTTTTTTGGTTTGTCCCAAAAAAATTGTCACTCTCTTTTTAAAAAAATGAATTTGTGGACTCTACTCTTCACAAACATCAACTACATAGTTTTTTTTATATTTTAATTTCACACTCAATAGTTTGGCAAAGTTAAATGGATCAGATTTGTTTTTAGAGTAAAACTCTATAATCAATTAATTCAACTCATCCTTTGCCAAAAGACATGCAATAAACTCTGACTGAACATCAAAAACTTCTATCATATCACAATCAACACTAAAAATTGCCTCTCTCGCTGACTCATGGGCAACACAAAAGTGGGACGGAGTTAATAATACTATGTGATTAATTTACCATACAAATATTTCAACAAACAAATCTCCAGTTATTTATTTTTTACGGAGTATAAGGATGTTTTCTTTTGGACTGAAATTTGCTGGTCTGGTCTGGCCTGATCTGGTCTGATCTGGTCTATTTAAGTCTGGTCTTGTCTGGTCTGGTAAACGTCTGGTCTTTGTGTATTTTATAATTGTCCAAGTCTGGTCTGGTTTGGTCTGGTCTGGTCTGTTTAAGTTTGGTCTGGTCTGGGACTGAAAACAGTCCAAAAGAAAACATCCTAACACTACTAAAAAGTTTCTGACCGTAAAACAATTCTACACACGATTATTTATTGGGAAAATTCCCAAAATAGGACTAAAACAGTTTGATAATTCCAAAATAGGACTGACATGTTTTTTATTCCCAAAATAGGAGTAATTACTGTCAAGTTTGGAAAATACTGCCATGCTTGAAGTCTGGTACTGCCAAAACATGACGGTAATTAGTCCTATTTTGGAATTAAAATCATGTCAGCCCTATTTTGGAATTTTCAAACATTTTTAGTCCTATTTCGGGTAATATCTCTTATTTATTTATTACATCGTGCATATATTGGCATGATGGTATTTACTTGAAGGGTCCAAAGTTGTGAGAAATTTTAAGGAGCACGTCGCGGGCTCCTTATTGAGCACATACTCCTCCGTAAATACGGCTCCCACATCACTTTTAATTAGATTCTATTATTATTGATTAAAATAGAGTTTGGGCTTTGCACGCTAGTTCTCAAAAGAAGATACGAAGTATATCATTCTTCTACATCTAAACTCATACCGCCATACATACCTTTGCACGCTGTACAACTTCCATTCTTCTGCATCGGACCAAATACTGCATCACCATAAAGCATTGAAAGGTGTGATTTTTCAATTTTTTATTCAATCTCTTTATTTGTGAAATTAAATCATTAAACTAAATATTTTCTGATCTCACACATATTTATGTCGACAATTTTGATAGTTAATGTAGAAGCTACACATATTATTTATTCAACTGTTTTCTGTAGAAGCTTTGGAGCACAACGGCAGTTACACATGGACAACAATAGTGTATTACCTGAAGATGAAGGTTTTTCATCTTGATTATAATTCGATTAATGCGTTGACATACTATTAATTTTTTGCATAGTTTTTCTTTTCATTCTGTGTAATATTAATTTTTCTTTCAGATCTTTATTTTGAGGAAACGCCTAAATTAGGCCAACAATTTCATTCGCTAGATGATGCTCAGGCTTTCTATAATGCACATGCAAAGTTGCTTGGGTTCAGTACTAAAATTAAAAATTCAACTGTTAATAAAGTTGGAGTTATAACATGGAGAGCATTTACATGCTCTAAAGAAGGACGGACAAATGTGTCTTCGCGAAAGAAAAATCAAATTGCCTTTGAAAGGAATAGAGGCCAAACTAGGTGTGGGTGTCTTGCTAAGATGCACGTTTCAAGAGACCGACAAAGTGGTTTGTGGACTGTGTTACAATTCGAGAAGATACATAATCATGACCTTGTTAGTCCTAGTAAGATACATTTGCTTCGTTCTCATCGAGAGGTGTCATCTTCTAAGAGAGTATTGATGAATGAGTGGGGAGAGGCAAATATTGAGACACATACCCAAATTCGGTTGTTGGAGAACGAAGCCGGAGGCCTAGCTATGATGGGGTGCACAGAGACTGATATATATAATTACAATGCCTCATTGAAATCCAAATTTAATGGGATCGATGTGAAAACAATGATTCATGGATTTCAAACGGAAAAACATAGGAATTGCGACTTCTTCTACAAGTATGAGATTGACAGTGAAAAGGTTCTTACTCGATGTTTCTGGGCAGATAGTGACAGTAGGAATGCATACTCATTTTTCAACGAAGTGGTTGTATTTGATACAACATTCAATACGAACAAGTATGGATTTTATCTTGCTCCGATCATTGGTGTTAATCATCATCGTCAAACTACTGTTTTCGGTTGCGGTTTGCTAAGTGATCAATCGGCTGAGTCATTTTCTTGGCTTCTATCAAAGTTTTTAGAAGCTATGAATCCTGGACCCCACCCAAAAGTAATAATAATTGACCAGGATGCAGCTATAGCTCGAGCTGTGGCTGATGTATTACCAAATGCATCACATCATCATTGTTTATGGCATATACTTAAAAAATTCCCTGAAAAGATGAATGTCTCTAGCTCAACATATACTGAACTCCACAAAGAATTAGTTGATATTATTATGAGTTCATAGAGCACAAGTGATTTTGAGCAACGGTGGACTGAGAAACTTTTGTTGCCAGAGTTGAATGAAAATAGTTGGCTTGCTGATATATATGAAATTCGTACGAAATGGGTTCCCTGTTTTGTGAAACACGTTTTTTGTGCTGGAATGTTAAGTAGTCAACGTGTCGAAAGCACACATGCTTTTTTTAAAAAGTATGTTAACAAGAAGTGCACTGTGAGCCAGTGTGTGACACGTATTACTCGGGCTATTGTGAGACAGAGGCACAGAGAGCTTGTTTCTGATCACCGCGATCGAAATGAAGTTCCACAGGTGAAATCAAGTTATTTAATGGAACGACAAATGGCTGGAATATACACAAAGGCAATTTTTCGTAAGTTCCAGAAACAATATGACGAGTGTGCTGTTTACACTTGCCACCTGGTTTCTAGCTCTGCTGAAACTAAGATCTATGATGTTAAGAGATGTGATATGGATTTGACTTATAGCTCTACGACACACAAGCTTACATACGACATATCCTCAGATTTTGTTTCTTGCAGCTGTAAAAAATTTGAATTTATGGGGATTACTTGCC